TGGATCTCGCGGGCCGTGATTTAACCGATTATCTGATGAAAATCCTGACCGAAAGAGGCTATAGTTTCACGACAACAGCCGAGCGAGAAATCGTGAGAGATATCAAAGAGAAGTTGTGTTACGTCGCCCTCGACTTCGAGCAGGAGATGGCGACCGCCGCCTCCTCGTCGTCGTTGGAGAAGTCGTACGAACTGCCCGACGGACAGGTGATCACTATCGGCAACGAACGCTTCCGTTGCCCCGAAGCCCTCTTCCAGCCCTCCTTCTTGGGTATGGAGTCGTGCGGTATTCACGAAACCACTTATAACTCGATCATGAAGTGTGACGTCGATATCCGTAAGGACCTGTACGCCAATACCGTACTGTCGGGCGGCACCACTATGTATCCCGGTTTGTACACCACATCACTCCCATTGACACCCCTTTACTCACTTTTTTGTTGAATTGCAGGAATCGCTGATCGCATGCAGAAAGAGATCACAGCATTAGCGCCGTCGACGATGAAGATCAAGATCATCGCTCCCCCGGAGCGCAAGTACTCGGTTTGGATCGGGGGCTCAATTCTGGCCTCGCTTTCGACGTTCCAACAGATGTGGATCTCTAAGCAGGAGTACGACGAGTCCGGACCCTCTATTGTCCACAGAAAGTGCTTCTAAGCATTTGCTGTCTCTGTCTGTCTCTCTCTTTCTGTATCTCTTCTACTCTTTCTATTCCACACACATTCTCAACACTCCTTAATGTATTTCACAACAAATAATAGATTACTTTATAAGAGAATTCCGTTTCGATTCCATATTTAAATTATAATTAATTAGTATTTTATTATTACTTGTAATTTCTATTGTCTCTTAAAAAACCAATGTTTCGCTGGATTTTGAAAATACATTTGTAATTACAATCTCTTAAATGTTTAGTACATTCAGGCGATGATAAAGTTTTAATTTTTTATTTCATTTAATGAATAAATTCTGTTTTTATTACATAATTGAAANTGTTTCGCTGGATTTTGAAAATACATTTGTAATTACAATCTCTTAAATGTTTAGTACATTCAGGCGATGATAAAGTTTTAATTTTTTATTTCATTTAATGAATAAATTCTGTTTTTATTACATAATTGAAAGAAAATTGGATTTTTGTTTCAAATCTCGAAATAACTATAATTTTATTTTTTAAAATAAAAGCCACTTTAAATTGAAATCAAGTCATTATTTTATTTACAAATAATTGTCTACATTATGAATACTACCGGTAAATGATATTTATACAAGGTAAAGTTGACAATACGATTGGTATTACCAATTTGGTATATCATATACTGTACAGTATTATCGGGTACTTTATAACCGATGCAAACAATACCTGGTGTTTCCAATGCAAAGTTCTTTCATTGACAACTAATACACTGTTCGGTCAAACGGTGTGAACACTCGACAAAAATAGAGTACACATTTGATTTGATTTTATAAATAATTTTTTATTTTTTATTAATTCAGTCTCTATTATATTTAATAGAAAATATTTCATGTAATTAACAACAAATCTATATATAAAAAACGGCAATCAATTAAATATTACAAAAAACTGAACAAATTATTATTAAATTATCGCTGGATTTTGAAAATACATTTGTAATTACAATCTCTTAAATGTTTAGTACATTCAGGCGATGATAAAGTTTTAATTTTTTATTTCATTTAATGAATAAATTCTGTTTTTATTACATAATTGAAAAAAATCGGATTTTTGTTTCAAATCTCGAAATAACTATAATTTTATTTTTTAAAATAAAAGCCACTTTAAATTGAAATCAAGTCATTATTTTATTTACAAATAATTGTCTACATTATGAATGCTACCGGTAAATGATATTTATACAAGGTAAAGTTGACAATGCGATTGGTATATTATATAAACTTATTTACTGTACAGTATTATCGGGTACTTTATAACCGATGCAAACAATACCTGGTGTTTCCAATGCAAAGTTCTTTCATTGAGAACTAATACATTGTTCGGACAAACGGTGTGAACACTCGACAAAAATTGAATACAAATTTGATTTGATTTTATAAATAATTTTTTATTAATTCAGTCTCTATTATATTTAATAGAAAATATTTCATGTAATTAACAACAAATCTATATATAAAAAACGGCAATCAATTAAATATTACAAAAAACTGAACAAATTATTATTAAATTGTAATTTATTGTATTATCAATAGTTTTATTTCATTAAATCAAAAATCTAGAAAATTTTAAAATTAATTAATTTTACCCCAAATAAAAGACATGATCGATAAGCCTATTACAAGTATAATTTCATATAAACATTTCTTACTAATATAATAATAATAATAATAATTAATATAATAATAATAATTAATAATATAATAATAATTAATAATAATAATAATAGTTTCACAAATAATTCAAATATATTTAAATTAATTCAATTATATAACTGTATTCTCCTTATTATGTTGGGTGTCATCATCTTTAGGACTGTCAGCGGTTTGTTGAGTGATATCATTGAGCGGTGCTGTGGATGAAGACTCCTTCTTGTCGGCGACTAATGGCTGTTTGCAATTACTGTTCACTTGTGTCACTTGTGGTCTACAATTATGCTTTATATCTGTCATAAACAACACAATTCATATTAATTTTCAAACAATTCAGTGTTTTTATAATAAAACGCTAATTATTTAGTAATCATTATAAATAATCAGACAAAACAGCAGCCATTGGTGTTTGTTATCATTCAAATCAAACGGTAATTCCAAGAATTTCATCACTTTATCGATATTACAAAACCTTTTCTTTCAAAACAAATCAAAGCAATTGTGCGGAAGAAGTGAAACACACGTACCGTTGGATTTGAAATCATCTTTTGAAGTACTCGTTAAGCTCTGTACGCTATCATTGCGATTGTCCTCATTGTCGGCCTCGTTATCAGCATCAGTGGCCCCCTCTTCACCATAATTATTGAGCGATGGGTCTCCATATCCGTAGCCATAAGGCTGTCCAGGAATGAAAGCCGGAACGTTTGCATGAAGTCCAGCCGCGGCTCCACTCAAATTGTCACTCTATTCACAACAAACAAACAATCAATCATTAAAATCATTGTCCAATAGTATGGGTCTGTGTTGAGGTGTCTCACGAGTGGCCACTTCTCCGGTGTAAGTCTTGGTCTGACTTTAATTCCATCGACGACTTCAACTAATGTGGAATCTCTGAGAGAATCGATAACCATTTGGACGTCTTGTGTGAGTGCCTGCACTCTATGGAAGGACGAGATTAGAGATATGGGAAGAAAGCCGTTGGCATCCATTTTGCGCCTCAAGAAGAAGTCCCGCTGAAGATTCTCGTCGCTAAAGTAATACTCGATCTGTTTTTTGATGTAATCCTTAAGCATTTCGTTGTCTAAACCCATCATCGAGTTATTGAAATAATAGGGACCAATGAATGGCGTCACTTGAATGCCCGTCAGGTCTACCGGCGAGTAATCCACGTAAAAGGCTATGTCTGCGGGATAGTCGTCGTGTTGGTCGGCCTGAGAGCGGGACCGTTGCACGTGTGGTCCCACCGCTGAACGGCCGCCGCGCGAACCCCGAGCGCCGCCACGATATCGGCGACCGTTGGGAAGAGGGGTTCTGCCGTTCAGCGATTCGTACGGATTCACATCGTTGTCGTGACTTCGGTTACCACTCTTCGGGTCGTCTGAGTGATAGTTTTCAGCACCGGATGAGTGATAATCGTAACGCTCTTCGCGACGATCGCGTCGCGGCCTCTCTGGCGGTCGATCTCTGTCTTTGCGGTCCGTCCGGTCGTCGGCGCTCTGTCTGTCGCGACCGCTCACGAGTGAGGGCTTACTTCGTTCGCTTCGATAGCGACGTAACACAACTTCTCTTTGATATCTCTCACGATTTCTCGCTCGGCTGTTGTCGTGAAACTATAGCCTCTTTCGGTCAGGATTTTCATCAGATAATCGGTTAAATCACGGCCCGCGAGATCCAGACGCAGGATAGCGTGCGGCAGAGCGTAGCCCTCATAGATGGGCACCGTATGCGACACACCGTCGCCGCTGTCCAACACAATACCGGTCGTACGTCCGGACGCGTACAGCGATAGGACGGCCTGAATGGCCACATACATGGCGGGTGTGTTGAACGTCTCGAACATAATCTAAACACATATTCAATTCAATCAGATTTTGTTGTTAGCAATAGATTAGCGATAAAACAGTCAATGAATTAATTAAAGGCAAAAATTGGGTCAAAAGAGAGCTTCCATTGAATTAATGATGGGATAAAGTGGTGGTTATATTAGTTGTATTAGTTATATGAGTGCAAACCTGAGTCATTTTCTCTCTGTTGGCTTTGGGGTTAAGGGGTGCCTCAGTGAGCAGCACCGGGTGCTCTTCGGGGGCCACTCGGAGCTCGTTGTAGAAGGTGTGGTGCCATATCTTCTCCATGTCGTCCCAATTGGTCACAATTCCGTGTTCTATGGGATACTTGAGGGTCAGTATACCTCTCTTGGACTGCGCCTCATCGCCGACGTACGAGTCCTTCTGACCCATGCCTACCATCACTCCCTATA